GTAAAAATGACATCCAATCCTTGCGAACACGAGTTGGTCTGCCAGCTCTGTGTTTGATGGCGGTCGGACTAGTTTTGTTGGCTGGAATAAGCGGAAGGCGGGTTTCTCGTGTGGACCCGAGCGCTTCCAGCTCGGTCTTGCTTCATTCTGCGCATGTGACAGAGCCTCCTGATAGCTCGAGGATGCTTGCAGGTTCACCCGATGACAGGACAGATGTTGCAGCGGCGACCCTTGGGGAAGGCGGGCCTGTTGGTTTCTCGGCTGTCCTTGAGCGCGGTCCTTCTCTGAGCCCAGGGCCAGAGCGTGATGATTGGGGTCTACCTTCGCTTGAACACTTTGAACAAACGCTTCCTTTGAAGCTTAAGGAGGGCAAAGAAGCGCTAGCTGCTTGGGTCTCCAAATTGTCGTGGGGTGAGTTGAAGAGTGAAACAGTTGCCTCGTATCAGCGTAACGTTGCTCAGGCTCTTTCGAACGGCTCTAGCGACTCCCTGGTTGGAATGAATATTTCAGTTCATAATTGGAAGCCGCTAAACTGGGCCGTTTCGGACAGGCGCTTGCCTGACACTTTGCGCATTAGTCAAGTTGTAGAGTATTACCGCTGGAATTTGGTGGTGAACGCCGAAGACGTCGTGACGAAGAAGGAGTATTCCCTTAATATCCCCATCATTCATATGGAGGGGGGACCAGATTTGGAGGAAGAGGATATTTATCAAGCGATGGGCTTGGCGGCTGCGGAGGAGAAGGAATCAATGCTGCAGGCTTGCGGTAACACTCCGGGTGAGTTGGCGGCCTCCCAGAAGGGCATAAAAGTTGCACTCTACACTGGCGAAATATCTGGTCTCGACCGAACTCATTTGGAACGGCACCTAAAGGTATATAATACTGTATCATTGATGGAAAAGGTTGTTGGGGACCTCGGATGTCTGAGATATACAGCAAGGGAAGTCGAGCAAAAGGCGCGGGATTACATCGCCTCGCGTTTGTTGCAGATAGTGATAAAAGTCGAGCTTTCAGGAGTTGGTCATCTGCAGCTTGACTGGGACTCCTTGTTTTTGCGTGAAGACGGTTCTTTTTTCTTGGGGAATTTTGGGAGCGGCGCTCCTTTCGCAGAGGAGATATCCCCCTTAAGGGGCAGTGTGACATTGCAACAAGAACCTGCTGTAATGTCGCATTATGCCCACAGTAACGCCTTTGTAACTGAAGCTAAAGTAAACATGTGGAGCCTTGGGGTTCTTCTATACCAGCTCTACACGGGAAATGAGCATCCCTACGGAGTTGTGGAGGGGCTGGACTGGGCGGAACAAGCAGCAAA